GTGTGTATGTTGTGTGTGTGTTTGTTGAGTATATGGTGTATCTGTGTTGTGTTGTGTATGGTGTGTTTGTGTGTGTCTATGTTTGTTTGCTGAGTGTATGGTGTACGTGTTGCAGGAGGTGGGGGTGGTTAATGCACACTGTGTACAGGTATGTGGAGGCCAGAAGTCGACAGTGGTGGCTTTCTTAGTCAATTCTCCACTTGTCTTCTGTGTTTGAAGACAAATGATGTCTGTCAAGATGCTGCACAGGCTGTGTTAGAGCTCAGGATGTAGACCACAGAAATCCATCTGCCCTCCCTCCCAAGGCACGTTCCACTGCACCTGGCTTCACGGGTACTGGGGCTCAGAACTCAGGTCTTCATGCTTCCTTCAACAGACAGTTTACGCACTAAGCCCTCCTGCCCATCCCAAGCAACAGTCTGGCCACCAAGCACCTTCTTTCCATTTCTTAATGCTGGAGAAAACTTAGCAGGTGAGAAGTCCCACCTTTCTCTAGCCACCACTAGATTCAGGGCACAGGCATATTTAAGAACACCAAATACATATCTTGGTCTTTTAAGAAATTGAAGGGTTTTTGTGAAAGCCAGTAACCTCAGATCCCACTAGTGATCCAACCATAAGTTTTAGGGATATTTCAGAAAGGCTTTAAATAGATAGATCCCTCCAGTTAGACTACATGGGTTGGAATTTCCAAGACAGAGACATGTACTTCTTGGTCATTTACTGCAATTTCTCCTGCGAATCTACTGTGCCCAGCCAGTCCTGAGCTCAGAGCAGTAAGACAAAGACCATTCAAGAGGCTCAATGCACACAAGTTCTGTGCTCACCAAGTAAGAGACTATAAGCCACCCGTCGCCATCAACCCATCAGTAGCTCAGAAGCAAGGCAGCTAGCTGTCTACCTGCAGGACTGGCTTCCTGTGGGCACTTCTGCCTCTTTTCAGTGCAGTCCTCACAGAGAAGCTTGTTGTTGCCCATTAGCAGCTCCATGGACGTGAACTGGTAGAGACAGGACTGCACTGAGCACTCCTTAGAAGTAGTTACATAACTCTGAGAGAGAGTCTGGAAAGCATGCTGAGCACTGTGAAACCTCATATGCTTTCCCTCTGAAAAACACAAATTATTTGGGACATTTAGTGGCTGTTTTTCCCGGTGAAAATCTCTATTTCCAATTACAGTGCCGCTCAAATGAAGTTCAGCGATCGCTTCAGCCACTGCCTCTTCACTGTGTGTCTCCTTGGTGGGTGGCAGTTCACTGGCCAATGGGGGACGCAAGTGCTGCTCTGTGAGCCCACAGGAATCCCCACTGGACGGGGGCGGCACAGGCGTGGGCGCGCTCTCTGACTCAGAAGCCTCGCTGTCTGCATCGGCACTGCTCTCAGACAGGCTGGCTTCCTTCTCGCTGCCGTCAGTGGGGCTTTCGTTCTGGGACGACTCAGTGCTCACAGTGCTGGCAAACCGACCCGCTTCCAAGTTCTCACTCTCCTGATATGTGACAACAGTTTTCTCTTCTCCAGACGGCAATTTTCTTAAGTGTTTTCTGTCATGACTTAGCTGATTCTGTAAGTTAACAGTATTTTTCAGAGAAAAGAATCTTGTGACCTTATTGAAAACAAATGCCACTAAAGTCATATTTAACCACCCACAATATTTCAATAAATACTTCTCTGACATCCATTTCAAAATCTACCTATGGGAGACTATTGTAAAACATATTCAGTGAAAGCGCAGTGAACAGAAATTTTTGCATGGGAAATTACGTGGGATCAAGAAGCATTACTAGAGTGGTTGGAAGAGAACCTGGGAGGGAGGCCCCATGGTCTTTCTCAGGGTTTCCACTCCTCTCACTATTTCCCTCTGCTAGGAGGCGCTTGCTGAAGCCCTGCGGCTCTGAAACACGGAATGGACCCTCCTGATCCCCACTGTGGACACTTTCTCCCATGCCTCTCTCTTTTCCTGCTGGACTCCAGAGCTTCCCCATGTGCCCTCTACTGGGAATATCCCAGGCTTTTTCTGCTCAGTATCTGGAGTCCTCCGACCCCCTTCACCCGAGATTAGTTCATCCCTTTTACAGTGGTTTATTTCATTTAACTTGATACTTGTCAACACCTTCCCTCTGAAAGTGTGTTCTATCCCAGTGATGCAACTGTAGCACTGAACAGCACAACGGTCAACAACTGCCAGCTCAGTGCTTAAACTCCACTTATTTAAAAGATACTCAGGGAGTTTCTGCTAACACCAATTCTGAGGGTAAAGTCCATTTTAAACCTTAAAAACACAGAACAAATGAGAATGGTAAAGAAGAAATACTTTTCTTTTTTGAATTTTCTCAAAATTCTCAATGGGAGAATGAGTGGTGATATGGAAGTAAGAGGAGAAAAAAAATGAGTTCAGTCTGAACTACATAGTGAACACTTGACTCAAAAAACTAAAGACGGCGGCCAGAGAGATGGTTCAGCGGTTAAGAACACTTGTTCTCACAGAGGACCTGGGATAAAGTCTCAGCGTCCACAAGGCAGCTCACAACCATCTATCACTCCAGTTCCATCTGATGCTGGAACCCACAGTATTAGACTGGTGTTTCTACTTGTGAACATGCTTGAGAGTTTTCAAAATTTAAAATATTAAAAGCATACCCAAAGCTAGGCAGTGCTGGCGCACGCCTTTAGTCCCAGCACTTGGGAGGCAGAGGCAGGCAGACCTCGGAGTTTGAGGCCAACCTGGTGTTTTACAGAGTAAGTTCCAGGACAGAGAAACCCTGTCCTGAAAAACCAAAACCAAAACCAAACCAAACCAACAAAAAAACCACAGCCCTCCCCAGTCTGACTTGCCTTATCTTTAGGTGAGGAATGCTTCTTGGCAGCTCTGGGTTGATGGGTATTTTCTATGGTAACGGTGCCCTTGTTATGGTCTTGGTCTGTCTCCTGTAAACTTCTGCATTTACTCATTTTCCCCAAAAGTACAGGTTTTGAAACCTATGCCACATGTAATATAAAACATTTTTAGCAAATAAATTCTTTCCAAAATCTGTAACTTACTAGAAACATAAAAAGTACTTTTCTTTTTTAAAAATTCTTCTATTAGTATGGGTGTTTTGTTGGCATGTATGTCTGGACACCACTTGCATGCAGTGGGGGAAGCCAGAAGAGGGTGCTGAGTACCCTGGAACTAGAACTGGAGTTACAAACAGTTGTGAGCTCACTAGCCTTGTGGGTGCTGGGAACTGGACCCAGCTCCCCTGGAAAGGTAGCCAGTGCTCTAACTGCTGTGCCATCTCTCCACCCCGCTTCAATTGTCTTAACAATTTCAAAATGCAAGGTTTAAAGATTAAATCCAGAGAGTATGTATGCATGAAGGTGATAGCAAACATACCACTCAAGCCCAATTCTGTGTAAACCATGACTGTGAGAACAGTTAACCCAACGGGTGTTTATATAAATGAAGGAAGGAATGCACACTCTCACGGGTTTCATGCCTACTTCTCCTTACCCTTTCTTCTATAATAGGAAGTGAAATATCGATGAAGGGATCCTTCATGGTGGAGATCTTAAAAAGGAGAAACAGATTGAAAAGTTCAATTAGAATTCTAACATAGATACAGACTGTTGTTAAAGAGCAATAAAATCAAACTTCCCAGATGACTTAAAATACAATGTGAAGTGTTAAGAATAAACAGTCTGACAGTGTGACCAATTTCTTAGGATAATCTGTTTTACATTCCTGTGTAAGAGAGGAATCTGTGCCCAATGTCTTATAAATCGTAGTAAAAGTCATAGTCACATTTTATGTTTCAATGTCATAGGCAAGAGGGGATATAATATTCCTGATTTTCTAAAACTAGAGAGGGCAGAAAAACTGGACATTGAGACCCTTTAACTACTAAAATCTGATAAAAAAAAAAAAGTTTAACCTACCACACTCAGCCACATTTTCAGAAATATTTCTTAATAAGCAGTTGAAAAGTCTATAAAATTTCATGCATATTTATGTTGTTAAAGATGGCATTAAAATAAGAATTACTAAATTCAAAGATTAAGTCAAAAGTACACACACTCATGCACACTTTTTGTACATCACATAACCACACACACACACACACACACACACACACACACACCCTAAATCAAATGTGACAGTCTTCTGCTGTCACACTATAGGACACTGCAGTCTTACAGTTACTTGTGTCACAGATACTTCTCTCTCTCCGAATCCCAATAGAAGCTAATATATCTGACCATAGGAAGATGTGCTTCTCTGACGGGTGGATCAGCCTGCATCCTCCCACTTAGGCCGACCAAGAACGCCAGTTCAAAGCCAGCCTGAGCTACAGACACATAGAAATCCACCCA